GGTCTGCGAGTCTGGGCACGACGGCGCAGCTTGCCGCCGGCCCCTCCGTCTACACCGGCCCTAGCACCACGCCTTTTCCTGCGCCATGTCCGCCGCCATGTGTGTGCGCCGCTTGTGCGACGGTCCTGCGGAGCCTGAGGACTCGGCCGTGCCGCCGTGGCGGGCGCCGTGCTCTCGCTTCCTCTCTCGCCCCGTCTCTCTCTGCCATGGACTGCAAATTCATCTCGTCTTGATACGTGGGATACGGTGACCTCCGCGCCTGTTCGCTCGAGCGCTTCGACGTCCCGGCGTCTGGCGTCTCTCGATCCGCCGCTTTGTTTTGTTTCTTCGTACACCACTCTTGACCACACGACAGAGAGTCCACTCACCTCGTCCGCTCGTCCGCGCTCCGCGACGTACCGCGTCCCGCGCGCTGGGGTGCGCCGTGGTGGCGCCGCGCGCCCCACCGGCGGTTCCACGTGCACACTACAACCATCCATGGCCTCAGACCGCGCCGCGCTGGATTCGCGGCTGCTTCACTTTGGCAAGTCGAGCCCCTTGACGGAGCGCATCAGCACGATGTTGTCGTCGGCGCAGCGCGTGGCCACGGCGATGCCGGCCGAGAGCTCGATGTTGTGCGCCGTGCCGATGAAGTCTGCAAAGAGCGCCGCCTCGAAGCCGCGGTGCAGCCCCCACTGCCCGGGCCCCCAGGGCGTCGAGAGGCGCCCACCCGCCTCAAACACGAAGCCGGGCACGCCCCCCCACGACCACGGCGACCGCTCGACCGCCGCGCGCACCGCGGGTGCCGCCTCGTCCGCGCCGTTCCACTCTCTCGCGCCGGCGCACGGCGGGCGCGCGGCGGCATGCGTGGTGGTGTCGGCGGCGGTGAGCTGGCGCAGCGCGTCGGCCTGGCCCGCGAGGAAGCCCGCGGCCGCCCGGAGGCGGGGCACGACGTCTGCGTGGTAGTCAATGTGCACGAGCACCGGCTTGTGCGAGGCGAGCACGCGCTGGCCTTGCCGCGCCAGCACCTGACCCGAAGAGGACCCGAGATCGCCCGAGAGTGCCCGACAGGACCCGAGAGTGCCCGAGAGTGCACGAGAGGGCACGAGAGGACCCGAGACTGCCGCGCCACCACCTTTGAGTTGACAAAGCAAAGATAGTTCATCACGCGCAGCACAGCGCCCGGGTGGGCGTACTCGTTCCGCGACGGCAGCCACAGCTCGCGCACGAACGCCTCGCGCTCGTCCCGCGCCACCTACAGGAGGGGTCGAGGAGAGGTCTAGGAGCCGTCTACCAAAGGGCAGCACCTCGCGCCCGTCCCGCGCCACCCGGTCATACGCGCTGCCTCCGGCCGCCTCGCCGCCGCGCGCCGCTCCCTCCGAGCCGGCGGTGCCGAGCCGCTCCCCCATGCGGCGCGCGAGCCTTTCGCTCTCCGCCGTCGGCATCGCGAAGAAGAGGCGCGGCTCGTACCCCACGATGCGCGAGCCTGCTCAGTCAGTCGCCAGTCGTGCATAGCTAACGGAGAGGAGGGTCGGCTCGTACCCGCACGGTGCGCGAGAACCGTGGCAGAAGCGCGTGAACGCCCATCGAGGGGTCGTCGATGACGTGGTTGTACCTCGTGTGGGGGGGGGGGGGGGGAAGATGCGGGGAGATGCGGGGAGATGGAGCAGCAGGAGAGCAAAGGGAAGCAGATCTGAGGGAGATATACGGGGAGAGGTAGGGGGAGAGAGGTAGGGGGAGGGAGTACCCGTAGCTCGACGGGTCATCCCACCCGACCGTCATCGCCTCGACGTCGGCATCGCGGTACAGCGCGTCGAAAGGGTCGGAGACGAAGTGCGTCGGCGCCGCGGCGGAGAGGACGCCGTACCCGTGCTCCACCAGCCGCCGCACCAGCGCCCACCGCAGCCGCGCCACCCGCGACGCGGCTGAGGCGTCGGCCGGCACGTCAGAGGAGGCGTCGACGACCGTCACGCCCTGCCCCTGCAGCGCCGCCACGAGGCCGTCGCACGCGACGAGCACGTTCTTGACCCCGGCGGCGGAGGCCGACTGCAGGAACAGCCTCGCCGGCTCCGCCTCCGACGAACCCACCACCAGCAGCAGCAGCTCCGGCGGCGAGGAGCCGCGCCGGACGGCGACGTCGCTCGCCGCGCTGCAGACGGCGTCGGCCGGGGCGCACGCCTTGACCGGAAGGACGGCGACCGAGACCCGCACGCCGTGGAGCGACGGCTGCGGCCGGCACCCGCCCCCCTTGACCGCGGCGAGGGCGTTGCGCGTGTCGGAGCCAGAGACAAACCCGTCGTTGATCGAGTGGAGCGAGTTGACCTCCAGCTCTGGCGCGGGGACGACGGCTGTCGGCTCGGTGCTGAAGCGCCCGAGCGCGTCGGCCTGGCCGAGGTGCCACCGGTCGTACACGGCGTCCATCCGCGGCTGCTTCGGCTGGTGGTAGTTTGCGTGCACCACGACCGGTCTGTGTGTCGACCCCGCCTCGGCGCGGAGCCGCCGGAAGACCGTCTTTGAGTTTGCAAAGCACCAGTAGCTGAGTGCGCGCTTGACGATCCCGGCGGCATGGTGGCCGTCGCGCGCGGGCCGCGCCACCTCCTCGCCAAACGCCGCTTGGTCCCACGTGTTAGGCTCGTGCTCCATCCGGTACGCAAGGATGGTCATCAGCCGCAGCGATGCATGTGTTGCGGCTGCATACCAGAGGCCCGAGTTCCACGCCTACGCCGTGAATGCGGCATTGCAGAGTCAGAGCACCGTGTGAGGACGAGGGACACGAATGCAGCCGAATACAGCCGGACACGGCCGGATACGGTCGGTTACGACGGAACGCGCGTCCTCTCGAGCGCTGGTTGAACACAAGAATACGTGTTCGGCTTCTGAGTTCCACGCTGTGATGCGCATCGCTGGACGGAAGCGTCCGTACGCGCCGAGGCTCGGGTCGTCGAGCTGCTCGAGCCACCCGTACGCAGACCCGTCGTCCCACCCGTCGGTGGTGCCCTCGATGTCCGCGTCGCGCCACAGGTGGTCGAAGGGGTTCTGCAGGTACACGACGTCGATGTCCGTCATCAGCACCGACGCGCCCACCGTGAGGAAGGAGCGCACAAACTTGAACTTTTGGGCGGAGATCTTGTGCGAGCCGAGCGCCTTGTCGGGCCGGGGCCAGCAGGCCACCTTCTGCGACTCGAGCCACTGCGGCAGCCGCTCGTCAATCGCGACGATGAGCATGTTGGAGATGCCGGCGCGCCGGTTCGCCTCGATCCACTTGGCGAGCTGACCCTGCACGTTGGAGTTTGCGACGCCGACCATCACCTCGCGCCGCACCTGCCCACACACCGCCAGCCGTGAAGGGGCGCTGCTCCGTGCTCGCCCAGACCCGCACCTCGCGCCGCACCGCCGCGGTCTTGACCGCGGCGCAGAGCTCCGCAGCGCCGTCAAAGCTGGCGCAGTTGATCGGCCACTCGGCGCTGTCCGCGGGGACGGTCAGGTTGAGAGGTCGCGACGGAAGCGCCTGCTCGCGCCGCGGCACGCAGCGCCGGTCCTCCTGGCCGTGGGGCATGTACGGCGCCACGCTCTCGGGGCCAAACGGGCCGTGTCCTCCGAGCCCGGGCGCGCCGGTGCCGGTGGCGCCGACGGTGGGCGGGGTGGAACGCGAATCCGCAGCGGCAGGCGTGCCAGCGGCGCTCGCCGCGGCCGGTGACGCCGACGGAGGCGCCTTCGTCTTTGTCCTGTGGTCCGGCTCGGGCGGGATGTGCCCACCGTGCAGCAGCGAGACCTTTGGGTGGACGACGGGCGCGGCAGCGGGCGCCGGGAAGAAGAAGGTGTGCGAGAGGAAGAGGAGGAGGACGGTGATGCCGAGGAGTGAGAGAGCGGCGCTGCGCATGACAAGTCTGTTGTCGCGAAAAAGAAATTTACCGAGATTTTACAAAATTAGGTGCCCGGTAGGCTTGGCTGCAAAGGGGATTTTCGCGTTTTGTTTTTTTATTCAGGGTTTTGCAACTGATTCCGTTTGCAACAAACGGAATCAAGAAAAGAAACGACCGCAAAAGCAGGCGGCGTCTCGTGCTCGACCAGGATCGCCGTCCCGGCGCGAGAATGCAGCCGGGCTTGCCGTCGTGCAGCCCTTTTTGCTTCGGCTCGTCGTCAGCGACGCGCCAGTCCTGGCGCAGCCGCCCCGCCGTGCGGTCCACGGCCTTGCAGCCCGTCGACGCGCCCGACGACGTGACCGCGGCCGAGATGGAGGCCTTCATGGACCACATCCAGCCGAGCTTGTACCAGCCGCCCGACGACAGCGACATCGCCCATGAGTTCACGGCGTGGCTGGCGGCGCGCCGCGAGACGTTGCGGACCGCCGCCGGTGCAGGCCGCCCTCGCGACTCGCAGGCCGACGTCGCCGCACCCGACGCCGCCGGCGGCGAGGAGTCGCCCGACAACGAGACGGGGCGCGCGACTCCGCCCGCACCTGCGCCGGCGGCGGCGTCCGGCCGCCGGCGCCGGCGCAAGCCGCTCGCCGGCGGC